GCAGGTTCCCAAAGCTTTGGGCCATCCTCGACTGCTTTCCCGGGCCACAGGCAGGGAGCTGGAAGGGAAGCGGGGCTGCTGGGATAGAACCGGCCCATATGGGATCCCGGGCGTGCAAGGCGAGGACCTTTAACCACTTGCGCCACCGCGCCAGGCCCATATGTATTTTTTTTAAGAGTTATTTTCTTTAAAAAATTTTTTTAAATTATATTTTGACAATCTTTACATAGTTAATTAGGGTAAAAAGTTTCAAGGGCTACAGGAAAGTGGCTAAGACTATTATCGTAGGTATTTGTGATTCAACAGATGGAGGATATCTCTCTCTACCTTTCAATTTAAAAAATTTAAAATAATAAATCCACGCTCCAAGTCTCAGAAAATTGTCCTAACCCTTACTCGATTCTTTTTTTTATAAAAAAAAATTATTGGAAAGGTAAATTTATAGAAAGAGACAGAGAGGAAGATCCTCTATCTGCTGGTTCACTCCCCAAATGTCACAATGGCCAAAGCTGAGCTGATCTGGAGCCAGGAGCTTCTGGGTTTTCCATGTGGGTATAGGATCTCAAGGTTTTGGGACAATTTCCGTTGTTTTCCCAGGCCATAAGCAGGCAGCTGGATGGGAAATGGAATAGCCAGGACGTGAACCAGTACCCATATGGTATACCACCAGTACTTGCAGGTGGAGAATTAGCCTGTTGAGCCAACATGCCAACCCCTAATTTCCCCTTTCTACATTTCACATTGAATGTAGTATTTTTCAGAGTTGTGGAAAAAAAAAATCAAGATTCCTTTCTAATGTTGTCTAAATATTTTCTAGTTCCTATGTTTTTTGTTTTGAAATGTGATTGAGGGCCCAGCACTGTGGTCTAGCGGCTGAAGTCCTTGCCTTGAACATGCCAAGATCCCATATGGACACCGGTTCTAATCCGGGCAGCCCTGCTTCCCATCCAGCTCCCTGCTTGTGGCCTGGTAATGCAGTCGAGGACGGCCTTGCGACCCTGCACCCGCATGGGAGACCTGGAAGAGACTCCTGGCTCCTAGCTTTGGATTGGCATAGTACTGGCCGTTGCAGTCACTTGTGGAGTGAATCATCGGGTGGAAGATCTTCCTCTTTGTCTCTCCCCTCTCTCTTATATCTGCCTTTCCAATAAAAATAAATAAATCTTAAAAAAAAATGTGACTGAATGAGCTTTAGTTCACACATTTTTCCAATGTGGTACGTTTCAGGCGAGAATTGTACATACACTGCAATCAACTGAAGTCATTGCTACTTATTTTCTATGCATAGAATTTGAAAGCAAGATAAACTATCACAGTGACATTCCAGTTTCTCTTAGATGTCATGCCTTACTACTTGCTATTTACAAAAGAAAGGTAAGGGAGAATTTTTCTTAGGGGACATTCCTCTGTTTCTGCTGTAGAGTTGAAAACAAAACGGAGTTAACATAGTTCATTACTAACTGCAGTATTTTTCACTTTTGTAATTTCTGCTTTGCTTGCTTGAGTATGAAACTGTGAGATTGAGCTCGCAGGCCGAGCGGCTATGACCCTGTATCACAGATAATTCTCAGTTCCCAGAAGACCTGGTTATCTCACAGGTGGCTCCAAGGTCTGAGTCTGGTTATCTTAACTACGGACCAGAGAAGACATGGGTACAGGAGGTCCAGCCACAACAAGCTTTTGTAAACTGCCCCAATAAAAGTGCTGTTCGGGGCCACACTCGGGTAAAGGGCTCAGTTGGTTGCCTTGCCTCTCATTGTAATATAATTGTGACGGTCACCGGTGAATGTATCATTCTGTTTTAGTGGTCGAGTGGATGCAACACTGCTATTACAAAAAGCAAAGAAATAAAGGCTTTCTTTTGACTCCCAAGAATTTGGACACAAATTTGGAGATGTAAGATATGGCTGTACCTTAGTACTTACTGGATCAAATCTGCTCTCAAAGCTCCAAGAGAGGTCTAGATTTATGTCAGCTAAGACACTTTGACCTTAGTAGTAACTTTCACCCACTTGGTAAATTTTGATTAAGGGTTAAGTCAAGAGTAGTGAATTCCTGATATATTAAACTGGCATTTACTGAGGCATGCACTGGGGTGCAGTGCGCTTAGTGTCTGCTTGGTACACCCCCAGTTCATTTCGCATGCCTGGTTCAAGTCCTGGCCACTCAGCACTTAAGATCCAGCTTTCTGCTAATGCACCAGGGAGGCAGGGGATGCTGGCCCAAGTTACTTGGGTTCCTGCCACCAACATGGAAGACCTGGGTAGAGTTCCTGTCACCTGCACTAGCCCTGGTGGCTGTAGGCATCTGGGGAGTGGGACAGTAGATGAAAGATCTCAATCTCTTCCTGCTTGCTTGCTCCTCTCTCAAATGATTAAAATGGTAGTTATTCTAATTTTTTACTATTTTATGTAAAAAGCCTGTTACAACTGCAGGCACAGCTCCCCATTTTTTGATTTCTCTTTTCCTTTAGTAGGTCCTTTTGATGGAACCCATCCTGTGGGCATGGCAGAATGCCATGGCAGCTCTGCGTCCCACGTCTGGCTCTGCTGTTCCTTGTAGGACCTCAGGCAATGCCCTGCAACTCTTGGGCCTTGATGTTTTCATCTGTGAAACAGGTATAATGATACCCACTTACTTCCTAGGAATGTCTCAAGTAGGTGTAAGTGGTGTGTCCCACGCCCTGCCCCCTTCCTCACTTCACACTCTGGAGGTTACTGCTGATGTGGTGCCCTCCCTCCCTCCAAGTCAATACGTGAATATCTTAATCCCCAGCGTTTCAGAATGGGTGTGCAGGTGGGGATGGAGCCTTTACATGAGGTCATTTGGGTGGGTCCTAACACAACACAACCAGTTTCCTCACAAGGTTGGAAGAAAGATGTACATGAGGACACAGCAAGGGGGCACCAAGGAGTGAGGCCTCAGAAGAAACCAATCTGATGACACCTTGATCTGACTTCTAACCTCCAGAATCATCAAGAAAGTAGATCTTGTAGCTTAAACCACTGGTCTGTGCTGTTACAGCAGTTGTATGTCATCAGCTCTGGCTCCAACCTCAGGGTGCCTCACGAGTCCCAGGCTCTAGAGTAATGCAGAACGAGGGCCTGGGCAGCATTCAGGTAGGGTACAGGTCCGTTTCACTCCCATGCCGCCTGGGAAGACCAAAGTGTAAAGCATTACAACGGGAACCTCCTGTGTCCCGGCATGGCTCAACCTGCGGCTCACAGCAGGTGCGACACAGGAAGTGGCCGCAAAGGGGTGCAGGTAAGAAGCATGGGGACACCTTAATCGCACCTCAGAGTTCCAGTCATCCCAAGGTTTGCCCTCTCCTAAGAGCAAACCAAGTCTCCTGCGCAAACAGGCTGTGTTTCAGCAGCCAAAAGGCTTTCTACTATTGCCGGACACACACTAGTGGTGACTCTGCACTAGTTGAGATCACTTTAAAAACTGCACATGCAGTACAATATGTCTTGTGAAACGCTACACTGGCGGTCTAACTGGAAGCATTTCCACGCACAAGATGCATTTCCTTTTGGGACAGAATTCATTGTACTTTCAAAAAGAGGGACTTCCTTCAGAGGGCAGAATGGGTATGTGGGACACAGAGAGGGGTTCGATGGGTAAAACTATCGATTTTTTGTTCCCCTTTGGTCATACAATCCAGTTACGGCTGGGACTGGATATCAAGTTATCCAGTACAGGGGGAGAGCCAACAGCCACATGTGAGGGAGCACTTGCAAGAGGGGCTATACAACCAGATTTTAATTAATAAAAATGTGAAAGCTGCTAACTTGCTTCAGTCCTTGAAAAAGAAATTAAGTCTGTCTGCAGCTACCTGACACCTGGATTTCCAACTGTAAATTGTATAGAGCAGGCACTATTCTACGAACACTGGCATTTCACTGAAATGGACAGGAAGCATTACATGTACTCCAGATTTTGCAGACGTGGTATGTAAATGAGGATACAGAATACCTTATCAGGGGCAGGCATTCAGCCCAGCAGTTAAGGCCCCAGAATTCCATGTCACAGTATCTGTGTTTGAATCTTGGTTCTGCTCCTGACTCCAGCTTCCTCTTCAAAGAGAACCTGGAACGGGAGCAGTAGTGATGGCTCAGCTACTCACTGGGAAACTCAGATTGGGTTCCCAGAGCCCAGTTCTGACCTAGCAAGGCTGGTCGGTGTGGGGCTTCGGCAGGCATTTGGTGTAATAATTAAGGGAATGTCTGGGGGTTGGAGCTGTGATGTAACAGGTAAAACTGCTGACCCAGTTTACTCCTTTTTGGATCCAATTCCTTGCCAACGTGCCTGGGAAAGCAGCAGATGGCCCAAGTCCTTGGGCCCCTGCACCCACTTGGAACACCTGGAAAGAAGCTCATGGCTTTGGACTGGCCTAGCTCTGACCACTGTAGCTATTTGGGGAGTGAACCTGGGGATGGAAGATTCTCTCACGTGGTCTCTAATTCTGCCTTTTAATCGACTGATAACTGAAAAGAACACAAGGGAATGTCTGTAGCCCAGTCTCAAGACAGCCTGCTTTGAGTCCCAGCTGCACTTCCAGTTCCAGCTAACCAAAGTGCCCCTGGGAGTGCTTGGGTGATAGTTTAGGTACATGGGTTCCTCTAAGGTCTGGGTTGAACTCCAAGCTCCTAGTTTTGGCCAGGTCCAGTCCTGGATACTGCACCATTTTGGGAGTGAACCAGCAGATTGGCACATTAACGTATACGCATGTTTTAAATTTTCCTCTGTACTGAAAAGCAAAAAGGAAGGATTGGGACAGGCTAAGGGCTGGGAACTTAGGCCAGCTCACGTGTGGGTGGCAGGGTTCCAAGGACCTGAGTCATGAGCTGCTCCCTTCCACAGTACGTGTTAGCGGGAAGCCAGAACAGGACGTGGAGCCAGGACTCAGCCAGGCACCCACACATGGGATGCAGAGTGGGAAAAGCAGTGAATAGTGGTTTGAGGTCACAATGCCCACCCCGAAATAATTTTAAGCTGCATGCACCTACTTTTTGGACATAACCCAGTCTGGAATAAAAACATGTAATACGTTTCCATCTCCAGCAACATATTAAACACCACACACAGATCAATGTTTTCAGAAGTCAATTTGAATTCTGTAGGGCATATTTAGTACTTAAAATTACACTGAATTAAAACATTACATCCTAGGATAATTAAGCGGTCTTCATCATGAAAGTCCAGTGTTATTTTTGACTGAGATTCTGAAATTATTTTGGGTGGATGCCATGATTCAGTTTCATACTTAAATTAGATTTTTAAGTTAAAAATTTAATACCCTTTTTAAGAAATAAATAAACCCGCATTTTTCAGAAAAGTTGAATGTAGAATTAAAATAGTCCATATAGGCTTAGCTTTGCTATATGAACTTTTTAGCTATAAACACAGCCTATGGGTTTAATCCACCTTCAGCATGACCTGATGGGCCCATTGTACTGAACACACAATGATGGTTAGAGCGCTAAAAGGATAATTTCTGCAAACCTCCTATTCTGACATCATGTCACGAGCTAGGGTGGCAACTGTTTTGCCTAATCGAAATGAGGAAGGAGAACCAAGCACTCTACCCAATTTAACCTATGACTGACTTTTCTGGGTTGCAAAAAAAATTTACAGATATGACTGGGAAGGTCAGTAAGACCATAACCTGTGGCTGTGAATATTTAATAGAAAAAAATGTCTCCATCAATGCCCCCAAAGAGCCAGTCTTTAGAACGTGTAGGAGATGAAAATGAAAAGCGTTCGTCAGCTATGAAACCCTAAATCCAAACAGGTACTACGGATGGGACATCATCCTCACAGGCACACACATTCCCACGCGCGTGCACACACACACAGGCTTTGCTGCCTGGAAGCAGCACGTCCTCCCTGTTGTCTGGCCATCTGGCTGTCTCGTAGTCACAGTCTCCCTGAGCCTGACCACATGCGTTCATGACCTGGCGATGGCAGCTTGTGGGGATCTGGTCTGAGTGTTCTCAGGTCAGCTCTGTTCCTGGCCTAGCGGGGTGGGCTGGGGCACATGGTGAGGGGGAGGCGGTGGATCTGGCTCCTGGGTCAGCTGCAGGTGCTGTGCCGGGTCTGAAGCGCTGGCTGCTAAATGCAGCCCCTCGCTGTGTTCCTGCTGGGCATGCAAGTGCTGCAGGGTTTCCTTGGACAGCGTGATGACGTGCAAGGGCTCTGTTGCAGAGGGCTCCATCTGGCTTCCAATCATGTTGAGGCCCTGCATGTGTTCTGTCTGCTCCTGCTGGGCCGACAGAATCAGATTCTGCAGCTGCTCCTCCGGCTGCTGCGTGAGCAGGGTCAGGTTGGCAGCAGGGTCTGCACTCAGGTTCTGGGTGCTCTCGGCAGTGACGAGGCTGATGCCTTGGGTGGGCCCTGACATGAAATTGATGTTATGCACGGAGTCGGTGACGAGGAGCTGGATTTCCTGCTCCCCTGAGGTCGAGAGCTGATACGGCTGCAGCTGGAGGATGTTCCGGACCTCTTCGGTGCTACTGGCATTGCTACCGCTGTTGCCACCAGCCCCAGGAGCGCTGCTGGCCTCCAATGCCTGTTTCTCTTTGCTGTGAATTTTCAAGTGGGCCTTCAGGTTGTCGAGGCGAGCAAATTGCAGGCTGCACTCGGGACATGAGAAGGGCTTCTTGCCTGTGTGCAGGATGCAGTGCCTCCTCTTGGCGCTGGAGTCTGAAAAGGACTTGCCGCAGATGCCACAGGAGTACGGCTTCTCTCCCCTATGAGCAGAGACACGGTGGGTTGGAAAAGCTGGGACACTCATTTTCTACTTCTTCCTGACTATAAGCAGGGGGAAGTGATTGATAACTGAGGAACAAGAACCAGCCTATGAGTCATGAGTCCTAGGCTCCCTTACTAACCTCTGGATATGGCATAGGTTACATCCACGGCTTCATTAGACGTTAAGAGTCTATGGTTTCACAGTGTGTGTTTCAGGCGCAAAAGTAAAGAGATGACCCAGAAGTCTTTCATTTCTTGTTAGCTCTCACAGCCAATTCTTGGATGCTCATGCCAAATAAGTCTATATGACTAATATCAAGATGCAAAATCTGGAGCAGTAAGTACCCAATTATTTGGGATGCAGTTAGAAGAAACTCCTAAATACAACTTGAGAGTAACTTTTGTGACCCCAAAACATCTGAAAAATGTCAAATGTAAAAGTTCTACTTTTGACTGAAGGCTTAAGCACTGGGCCAGTCTTGACCCCCAATCAAAATCTGATACATGACATCAGTCATGAGAACTTTTATAGTTTAGAATTGCTCCTGCCAATTTTGCCTAGGTCAGGAATTTCATTCTTAAAAAGATCAAACACAGTAATAAACGATGTGGGAAAGTCTAGCCTGCACCCACCCCGCCGAGCGCTCACAGGAGGCCCGGCCAGAAGACATCCGCAACGTTACCGGTGGATCCGGATGTGGGTCTGCAGAGAGCTCTTTGCTGTGAAAGATTTGCCGCAGATCTCACACGTAAATGGCTTCTCGCCTAAGACAAGCAAAAGAGATCAGGGAAACCAAAAAGTCAGAACACGCCTCCGTCATAGGGCAAACAGCGGCAGTCACACCCTCTGTGGTCAAGCACCTGCTCTGTCCCCGTGCATGGTGTGCGATGCACCAAGAGGATCGTGGACAAAGTGTCAGGTCTGAGCTTTCACCTTCAAAACATTTAAACTGAGAAAAGGGAAGGGTGGTTAGAGGGAGACTAGCTGAGAGATGTTTCCATTTTCATTTTGTGACTGCTGGGGGAGAGAGAGGTTCCCTCCCCTTGCCTGGCTTTCCATGAGCCTGGAAAGGGGAGGGGTTACAGGATGCCACCCCAAGTTCTGGGTGTGAGGGAGGACATGCTTGGGAAAGGGTCATTTGGTTGACAGGTAAATACACAGTATTCTATAGGGTGGGGGATGTATGGCTACCTGCCTGTCCCTTTTCATTCCTGGAGTAAGCGTTCATGGGAAATAAGGAACACAAGACATTCACTCCTATGTCTTCTACCCTGAGCACTGATGGCCTGTGAGGTGGCCTGCCCAACTCTTCAGAGGGCTTCTGCATCCCAGGGGGATGTGCCTATGGTTTCCATTCCTATTTGCCTTCCAAACACTTCCACAGTCTTTCTTGTCCTCACCGCCTCCAATGCCACCTGCAATGCACATCACCGCCAGCCCTCACCTGGGGCACTGATTGCAGCCCCTGCTCCCACTCTGGGATCACCTACACTCTACTCAGTGAACAGGGTGAGCCTAGACACAGGGTCCAGCCGTTCTCTGCTTCCGTGGAAAAGGCTCTGGGGGCTCTGGACTCGCAGAAAGAAACAGTAAAGCTTGGGGTGGCCGCTATGCCTCAGTTGGGCTCAACCAGTGTGGACGCCAGTATCTCTCATCAGAGTGCTTAGAATGCGGGCCTGGCTATTCTGCTTCAGATTTAGCTCCCCACCAATGGGCCTGGGAGGCAGCAGATGACAGCTCAAGTGTTTGAGCCCCTGTTACCCATGTGTGAGACCCAGATGGGAGCTCCTGGTTCTGCACAGCTCAGTCTCAGCTGTTTTGTGCATGTGGGGAGTGAGCCAATGGGTGGAAGACTGATCTGTCTCTGTTGCTCTGCATTTAAGATTAGTAAAAACAAACAAACAAACAAAGAAAAGCAGATGAAGCTGCTGCTTGTGATGCTGGCATACCCTATGAGTGCAGGTTCAAGTTCTGGCTGTTCCACTTCTGGTCTGGCTACCTGCTAGGGCATTTGGAAATGTAACAGAAGAGGACCCGACTATTTGGGCCTCTGCACCCACATGCAGAACTGGCCAGGCTCAGTTCTGACTATCAAGGCCATTTGGGCAGTGAGCCAGCAGATGGAAGATCTATCTCTTTCTGTAACTCTGCATTCCAAACAAATATCAATCTTTTATAAAAAGAAAAGTTGAATTGTTTTCAGTGACCCCTAGTTCAATAGTCCTTAGCTCAATCCCCATGACCTTATCTCACAGAGGCTCACCTGCCTCAGCTCCTTCTCCAGGTGTCGTCTCACCGCAGGTTTTCCTAGCAGCCCCACAGCCCATCCAAGTACACTGCCTGCTTTCTAATTAAACAGCGCAGTTACCTCCCACAGATTATATTTCATCATCTGTCCCCTCTGCAGGAAGAACAACCACTCACAACACCAAGCACCTGTAAGATCACCCACTCCTAGCACCTCGTGTCTGGAATCCGGCTTGGCATGCAGTCCCACAACCCCTTGTTTAATGATGGATCCCAGAATGTGACTGCTCTGGACCCTACTACCCTCATTCATATCAACTGGTACTTATTCAGTGTTTGCAGAGTTTGCACAGCGATGCCAGTCTACACACAGAGTGAGGGGCTGTTTTGTTGTCTTCCAGAAACAGAATCAGGACATCTTAATGTAGATCAGAAGCACGCAACAAAATCCCCATTAACTAGAGGGGAGAGCAGGGGCTAGCTGCGATGTGAGGTGGGGGCTCATGCAGGCAGAAGGTCCCCAATACCCTAGAAATCTACCTCTCTGATCTTCCCAGCACACAGGTGAAAGCAAGGCCAGCTGCAGGGGCTCTGCAGAGGCACCCTGGGGTGACTCCACTCATACCTACACCTTTGCCCTTTGCTTTCATTGCCGTTGTGTAACGCACTCTTGTAAAACTTCCTTATGACCCTAGCACCGCCTTCCATCCTCCTGCCTCCTGCTGCCTCCCAGGGGCCAGGCCTGGCACCTGTGCACAAACACTTACTAGAGCTCCTCTACTGCCCCCCCCCCCCCCGCCCCTCTAGCCCAGCTTCGCCTTCACTCCCAGGAGTATTTATTTGCTCAGTACTTTGGCCCTTCCTCAGCCCGGCTATGACCTTCAAACCCTCCCCATTCCTTGGTCTGCAATGCCAGGCCTTCTCTCACTAGCCTTTCAGCTCCCACTCTCCTCAGCATGGCTCCTCCCACCTCCTGGTGCATACCACATGACTGGCACCACCTTTTCAGCCGTACCATTTACCCAGTGCCCTGATCGAGGCTGCTGTCTGCTTCTTTCCACAGTCTCCTTCCTGTCTGCACCTGGCTGCTGCTGCTCACCACCCCATGTCAGACCAGTGCTCTCTCTATCTCTCGTTCCTAATCTGGTTTATGGCTCTGTACTCTACCGCCAGCCTGTCAGCAATTCAGAACCAAGTCAGCTCAGAGAGAAATGGGCACTGACAGGGGAGCAGTCCTGTTACTAGAACCAATCAGAAACTAGGGCCTTGCAAACCTGCCCCAGATTCCTCCTTGGCCAAGAACAAGGGTACCCATCATTCTTGTGCATCCTCACAAAACCTTGTTGGAGGGTGAGCCTTGTGGCACAGTGGATTCAGCCACTGCTTGCAAGGTGTGCCTCCCCATATCAGAGTATCCATTAAAGTCCCAGTTGCTCCAGCTTCCTGACACCAGGGAAGGCTTCAGTACTTGGGCTCCTGCCCCCTGTTAGGGGGACCAGGTGGGAGTTCCTGGCTGCATGCTTCGACCTGGCCATATTAATATTGTCATTGGAGTTTCCTCCAGAGAACTCTGAGTCTGTAGAGAGAGGAAGCCACCAAGGTAAGAGTAGGCCTCAGCCTACATTGCCTTCATTTCCAAATTATATTCCTACCACCAGCACAAAGAAGCCATTTCCTCCCCGACTCACCGACCCAACAGGCAGAGTGCATGTTCCTTCTCTCGGATGATGAGCACAGCTACCAGGGATGCTTTCCTGGCCCTCACATCTTCCTGTATCTTCCGTGACATACCCTTCAGGTGTCCCATGGCTTCTGTTTGGGGCACTCATGTTTTCTTCCTTAGGATATTCATGTTCTGTCACTTATGCTGGTGTGAGACTAGGTCTATTTTGGGTTCTGTCCACAGTTCCCTTCCTTCTCATGTCCACAGAAACTGGAATTTCCCTCCCCCTCCAGCAAGGCAGAGTCACAGGAGCTCTGCCTTTACTTGGCTAGTCCTATATGACAGTGGCCACGGAGACCCCAGGTCAGGAGGAGAGTTGTCCTGTGCTGGGAGGAAGGAAGCTCCTGGAAAGGTCTGGCCGGCTCGAGCTGTCATAGGCATCCGATGACAGCCATTCCACCCTGCTTGTCTGCACTCTGGGCAGGTTTCTGCAAGTGGCTCTCCATGGAAGCCCTAGAGGGCAGGGTAGGGAGCTTCTGGATACATCAACTCAGGAGGCTCAAGGGGGAGGGACAACCTGACATAGCCAGGAGGCTCTGCGTCCCTCAGCCCACACATCTCCTTATCTTATCCTCTGTAACAAACCCAGTAACCCTAAGGGAGATGTTTCTCTGAGTTCCATAAGCTGCTCGAGCAAATTAAAGGAAGTCAAGGAGGGGGCCATGGGGACCCTTGAGGCAGAACTGAGGCGCAAGACTGATTGGGGGGGTGGGCCCTCAGCCAGTGGGATGTGAAGCTAATTCAGGATGGACAGTGTAGGAACAAAACTGGGGGCTGGCACTGTGATGGGCAAAGTTGCTGTGTGCAACACTGGCATCTGCTATGGGTGCCGGTTCGAGTCCTAACTGTAGTGCATTTGATCCAGCTCCCTATAATGTGACTAGGGAAGCAGAAGAGGATGAACTAAGCGCTTGGGCCCCTGCCACTTATGTGGGAGAACAAGAAGCTCTTGGCTCCGGGCTTCAGATAGGTGTGGCTTTGGTCACTGAGGATTCTTAGGGAGTAAACCAGTGGATGGATGATCTCTCTCTTTAACTCTTTCAAATAAATGAATACACTTGAAAAAAAAAAAAAAGAAACAAAGAAAAGAAAAAAGAACAGCCTGGGGTCTGCCACCCTGCAGCACTGCTTGCTGCTGCTGGTGAACAGGAGTCTGCAACCCTTTGTGAGCCAACAGCAGGAGGCTCTGAGTTGAGCTGGGCTTTCCTGGTGTGAGCCCCGGAGCGGGCCTGTGAGGGTAAGTGGTGCCCAGACCTTCAGGAAGATGAGAATCAGCTGTTTGGAAGGGCTCAACAGACAAGGAGACATAGGACGCTCCCAACACAACCAAGACAGGGGATCAAAGAACGGCTTAATGAACCTTACCACAAGGCCCTGGACAGGCCAGGGCATGCTGGGCACAACTACTGTTTACCTACCGCCAGCCAAGGGTCAGAGACGCCAGAGGCAGGGGCCTGCATGTGAGCAGCTTCTCCATGGTGGGGTAACTTCCCTGCCTTGGCCTCAGCTCACCTAGCTCAGACTTCAGTTTTCTGGGTACACTAATATCAGGAGAGGGGACCCCATTGGTAAGTGAACTCTCTGCTGATCTATCAGCTCTTTCAATCAGCCAGGCACAGCCTGGTCCGGCATGCCCGAGCAGCTTCCGCCTCAGGACAAGGGCTGCCCTCAGGGTCTGGGATTCCTGCCTACCTGACTCTTTGCCTGTATCGCCCACATGTCCCTAATCCCTCCAGCAAGAGAACTTCCCTGACTGTCTCACCTGGTAGGGTCTGTGAGTGAAAACCCAAGGTG